TGCTTTCCCTAAATCATATCAATTATACCAAGGGTCATAAGCTCAAATGACTGCAGGGGATCAATAGAAAACATGAAAGTGTGATTAGGATGACAGGTATCTGTGCCAAATGTTAATACTCACTTAGCTGTACTATACAGACCAAGCCCCAAACTCTCCTGGGCCATTTGCTACCAGCTCACAACCTCTGCTTTCCCACCACAGCCATACAAGAAAGGTTAATATCAATGAGCAATTCCTCATCTCTAAGAAGTATATAGTCCTAGAAAAATCAGTAATGAGATTTCTAGCACAGGGTCTCTGATTCAGAATAAACATGTCACACAAAGTAATGGTGTGGGAACATATGAGGATATTCACATAATCTTTTATTCAAATGGCTTCTTTATTTAATAATATTTGATAAGAATCTTTAGTTAGCCTTTTCTAACCTCTGCTTTCAGCAGGAGCAGTGAATTGAATGAGTAGACTGTCCTTTGAGCAGATAAGCCTTAAAATAAGAACAAAGCAAGAATCAAAGTGTATAATCTACTGCATTAAGAACATTTATGACTGCAGTTAATGGAATGTAAAAACATTACTGCAATTAGGAAGCATTACCAATCTACAACATTTTTAAAGTAACATTAATTAATTCAACAAATACTGATTGAATAGCTGCTATATGCCAGATACTCTTCTAGGTGCTGGGACAGAAAAATTGAGTAAGAACTCCTTGAGAAGCTCATCAAATGAATTTACCATTCAACTATTTGTATTTTAAACAGTAACTACTAAAAATAAACTTGTATAGGGTCAAATTAGGTGAATTTCGTAAAGAAACATCAATAACTGTGTTTTGTCACTATCCTCTCACAAACGATGTGTGTGACCTTAGGCCTGTTCATAACCTCTTTTGTCCATTTTTTCTTTTTAAAAAAGATAATAGTACACATCCTGACTGCTTTGTATATTTTATTTTAGACATTGAATAAGACAGTGAATGTAAAACATTTCAAAGGAACAAAATGCTGTATAAATATGAGAGTATTATCAATGACTATTTCTTGATCTGTTTAGGCAAGAGAGTCATAAATAATTTTCAAATATATTTAAGATCAACAATATCAAATTAACATAATACTAATAATATTTAATAGTAATCAGCTGTGTGACATTGAAAAAATTTAGTGCCTTTGTGTCTTAACTTCCTTATTTGTAAAATAAGGATAACAATATTTCCTATCTCAAAGAATTGTTTGCCACTAGTTAATGATATGACTTAGATCCTTAACCTCTTGCAGTGATTAAAACCCAGTTTTTAATACCAGATATCTGAGTTCAATCTCCTTTCAGCCACTTACTTAAACTTGGGATAAGCTATTTAATTTCTCTGTACTACTTTCCCCTCCTGAAAATAGAATATTACTAGTACTGACCTCATAGAGCTACTGGAAGGATAAAAATGAGTAAATATGTATGTAGAAAAAACACAATCTTGTGGTTGGAATAGATCTGTGAGAGGTGACTTTAATTTCTCCAACAAGTATATTCCCATTAAACAAATAATTCACATAGTATTTAGAGAGAAAATTTAATTATGCAGCACTGGTAAATTCCTACTGCATACAATTTAAAGTGCTTTTTTGTAATAAAGGTATTTTATAATTTCTGTATTTAAAATATTGCAAGTTTTGTGATTCTCACATCTACAAGGCTTATAGTCAAACAATGACCTTTTTAGAAAACCCTTGTTCATTTTATTTTCCTTTCTTTTCTCATTAAGTTTCAGGAAATATTTGGGAAGGGTATGTAACCATCATAATCAGAGGCAGCACATTTTAAGCTGTATCGCCTCTAAGGCCATTGTCTAGCCTTGCTAGGCTCTAATCTTACCTATATTTCTTTGTTCTCGGGCGTACGAGGATGTAAACACTCCCTAACCTTATAATAGTTACCTTAGGATCGACACAGCATTTACATATTTTCACATACTTCTGTCTACCAGATCATTCTCCTCTTTGCATAAGGCTTCTTGTCATTGAATTATAACTTACAGCCAAGGTTTAAAGTCTATATTTTGTGACTCCACTTATACTAAATGCTTAACATAATACCCAGCACACAGTAAATCTTGATGAATTTTGAGCTATTATTATTATCATTGCCCCAATAATACCAAGACCTGCTAGAGGATTGCAGGGGAAAGAAAAATAACAGGAAAAAAATGACCAAATTAAACCTCTCTAAAAATATCCATTTATTATTAATTGGTCAGCCTACAATTTGTTTCATGTAATATAAAGTGCTTGGAGTAGAAGACCCTAAGTTTTATCCCAGTGTAAACCTTCCAGGATTAAAAACCATGACTATCAGGTGATCTTAGTCATAATTATAAATAAAGTCAAATTAGGGTGAAAAAGTTAGAAAGACAAAAAAAAAAAAAAAAATGGCCTCCAGATCTGACGTGTTGGACTTCCCTGGTGGCGCAGTGGTTAAGAATCCGCCTGCCAATGCAGGGGGACACGGGTTCAAGCCCTGGTCTTGGAAGATCCCACATGCCGCGGAGCAACTAAGCCCATGCACCTCAACTACTGAGCCTGCGCTCTAGAGCCCGCGAGCCACAACTACTGAGCCCACGTGCCTAGAGCCCGTGCTCTGCAACAAGAGAAGCCACCACAATGAGAAGCCCGCACACCGCAACGAAGAGTAGCCCCTGCTCGCCACAACTAGAGAAAGCCCACGTGCAGCAACGAAGACCCAAAAAATAAAAAAAAATAATAAATCTGACATGTTTTCTATTTTATTTAAACGTGGCTACAAAAATAACTGGTAAGAAGAATTTTATGACTCTGTTAGCAAATTTCTTTTGTCCTTAAGTAAATTTAATTTCCCTCCAATTCCTTTCTAATAAAGAGAACTTTACATGCTTTTGCAAACAGAATATTGGCATGTTTCATTGACATTTAATGAGTTCTAATATGGGCACACTGTGCACATCTACAGTCATTTCTGCCTCTACATGATACTAATTGGGTCCCTTCCAAAACACATTAGTCCACTTATGCTGTTTGTTGTCTTAAAGTGTTACATTTGCCAATAGCCTCCTAAAATCCAGAGTTTGCTTCTCTTTACAGTCATTAAATATATTTCAACACTTTAACTTTTCAGTAAATAAGAAGGTCCTTCTTTTGTTAAAATATTTGCCAAATTTTGCTAAATGTCTTAGCAATGTTAAAAAAGAGTAAATATTGAGTATTAATGGATTCATTTACCATTTTTATGCATAAAATGAAACAAGCAGAAATTATGCTATGACTGAGGAGACACACTTATGGGGAGGAGAGTGAGAAGACGGAGGTGAAAAAGAATTCTAAACATTCAGGAACATATATTTGTCAGTGTCTTTTGGGAACACAATGTTTTTCCAGTGTACTTTTGTTATAATATATTAACATATTTTCTGAAGAGGCAGCTAAATGTGAACTGAAGTCACACTGCCTGAGGTTGAATCCTGTCTTCACTATTTTTACACATACAATAAAAATGCTGATCAAAATATGTTTGTCTTTTCAGGATTTTGCCCCATGTTTTTATATGTGAGCAGAAACAAAACTATAAATATCAAGATGCAAATATTGTTTAAAAACATATGACATGTATTCTTAGAAATAGAGACTGTATGTATGTACTCTAATTCTTCATTGCTGTTTGGCTAGCAGACACCAGGTAGACACAATCAGTAGTTTTCTCCCTACTGCTATTCTCAAAAATCTTAGTCATACCAACAAAGCCCATAGTTTCAGCTATTAATGCTATAACTGTTGATCCCCAAATCTATCAATCGACATTTGCCTCCATCCCTCTACATATATGGCAAGACCTACATTTTAAAAAATGAAGTAGACAATGAGTGTCATGAGAATATTGAGGGCTTACTTTCCCACTGTCAGAATCATCTCTCTCTGCCTGGGGAGATACCACCATAAAGTAGTCTGCTGCAAAATTATGGCAAAGTTGAAATTGGTTTTCAGCACTCCCACTACAGTTGCTTCCCTATTCCTCTCTTAGATATCTCTCCTTAAGAATCTAACATAATATAATAAATATTAACAATTTTTTTCTATTATATTAGTGCCTACGTGTTTCCCATTTTGTCTATTTATTGCAATGTTTCTTAAAGAGGGAATCACAGACATTGTAAGAGAATGTTTGTCTTCTAGACACAGATGCTTAGATTTGTAATAAAATTTAGAGGACGTACAGTCGTCTTCCCTCACTATATGAGAACCTGCGACTATTAGATCCTAGAGGGTTGGCACCTACCTACCTTACTCATCCCGGCATACCCAGCGTTTAGCTTTAGTGCCTGACACATAAAAAGGATTCAAATTTCTTATTAAGCTGAATAAATGTGACCGGTGACAGGCAACCTAGTTCCCTGGTTTAATCCTATTAGACCCACATAACAAACTATTGAAATCTGTTCATGGATTAATCTTCTCAACTGGACTCTTGCAAGCGCAGGGATGTTGTCTTTCTCTCACCCGCTTGATAAGTCCCTTAGCTGTTGAAATTTAAAATGTAAACGAAAAAAATACAAGAAATCTACAAGATATAACATGATTAGGTTGCTGGACAGGCATAAAATACTAATATTAAAGCTAGGTGAGGATTCCAACTTCTAGTGCATCAATCGAGCTTCTCCGCCCTCAGGTTGCCTCGGCAACTTGGGAGAGCGCCCGCCTCCAGCCCCGCCCACCGCCCCGCTCTTCGCCCGCCTCCCGGGACCCTTACTTCCGACCCAACCGGCAAGCTGGGACCTGGAGTCCTGCTGTCTCTGTCTGTGCCTGTCTGAAAATACAGAAGAAAATAACTGCAATTAGAAGAATATTCATTCCAAATGATCCTCAATTTTGTTTTAGAGATATACATGAAAAAGCAGTAGCTATCTGTAGCTTGTAGGCGCCGCCCAGCGTGAGCATCTGGGCCCGATTTTTCAGGCAGTGCCTTGGATACCAGCAACCTTGGAGGACCCCAGCTTGCCGCGGGAGACGTGGACCTGAGTGGGGCCAGACGCCGCAGAGGAAGTGAGGTTGGTGGACGGAGTTGGAGTGAGGTTTGTGTCCAGACCGGCTGCACCATGTAAGTGTTTGCTTTCCACCCGCCCCAGTCCCCCGTCCCGCTGCCCGACCTTAACTCTCCCGCTCTCTTCCACAGGTCGAAGGTTTCCTTTAAGATCACACTGACGTCGGACCCGCGGCTGCCGTACAAAGTGTGAGTAGCTCGGTCGCGGGGGGGTCGCTATGGGCTGGGCGATATGAGCCTTCCCCGCAGCTTCCACACCAGTAGTGTGTGTTCCTTTCCTCCCCTGAGCTTCCCACATCCCACTCGAACTAAGATATCCTATAAGTGTCAGCTTGCCCAGGCGCGGGGCTGTGCGGATATGCGTGCTGGGAACGTTGCTGGTGATTTGCGATCTCTCTTTGGGGGCTGATGGAGCGGGAGGACGTGTGGACGGGGCTCTGGTGATTTGCTGGCGTCCTTAAAACAGTCTCAATCTGCTCGTGATGAGAAAGGCCTTTCACCACTTTGACCAGCTGTTAGAGGAAGTAAGGGAAAGCATCCCAGTCCGGGTTCCGAAATTACTAGAACAGTCAGGCTCCTGATACTCGTTGAGTGTGACTCACTCGATAGTTGGGCTTCACAAAGTAGAGAGATTACCCCCTCTCTCATCTTTGATTTCGCCCTTTACATTGGATTGTTTTCATCAACGTGTAAGTTGGCTCTAGAAAAAAAGAATAAGAAGGCGAGAGGGAGAAAGATGAAGGAGTAGAGCAGCATCGGTATCTATAAGAGTGCCTGGAACGTGGTACCAGTTCACTCAGTATGTGTTGACTGAATGAATTTAGCAGCACACTTCTAGTTCAGTGTGTGTATAGTTGTATGTATGTGTAATTTGTGTATGGGTATGTGTATATAAAATAGACACAACACATGTATGGGTGTGTCAGGGTCATTATGTTATGTTTCCTATTCAAAGTAATGGTATCTAGTATTTGAGTACTAGTAAAAGCAGCTCTGAGATTTGTGGGAAAACATGCTTTAACTTTTTAAGGCCACTTTTCACTTGTCAGGCAGGTAAATACATACTTCGATAGAGAAATGTTCCTTGAGTTGCTAATAGTTGAATTCTAAGAAAGATGTGTCAGTCCTGGATTTATTCGGGGGAATGTCCAGGTTTTTATTGTTTGTTTTGTTTTTTTGTTTGTTGATAGATTCCCTGTTGGTATTGCTACTTGGTTATAGAAATGTTGAAATCAAACATTCTCTTTCATATACAGGATGCGTTAAAAAACACCTTTGGCTCTTTCAGTCTAATTCCAGTGTTTCCAGTCTTACTCCCCACCTCTTCCTCCTCACCCCACCCCTGGCTACTTACCACCACCATCACTTAATCAAAGTTTCAGCCATCCTGTTCCCAAATTGACAAGCAAGTCTTTGGATCCTCCCTGTCTGGCACACGTTCTCCTGTGTGCTTCTAATGTAGTTTTGTGACTACCACTTCCTGACAGCATCCTTTAATGATCAAAATTTCACCTCTGAGACAATTTCTGTGATGATCTAGGGAGTTCATTTCACCCTTCCCTAGTGTCCTACAGAAACTTTGTTTTTATTCTTTATAATAACACTTGTCAAGTTATGCCATGGTTCTGTTTATGTGAAATATTTATTTTAAAAACAAATTTTGCCAGTAATTTACTTTAAAAGTTCATTTTAATATGCAGGATAGTTCCTATTTTTTCAAAACACCAATGTAATGTAAGCATAAGTTTTACAAAATGATGTGACTGGCAAACACAAGAGCTTCAAATCTAGGTAAGGTTTCTGGAGTTGCAGTAACTCCCAGTCCCTCTGCAATTTTCTGCCAATTAGAACATGCACTAAAATATGTTTTTATTTTCTGTATTATTGGATTTTATTTGGACAGTCTCACCAATTTAACATGCAGATAGAAACTTATGTTAATGAATATCAGCATGGCATTTTATTACATGATACAAGGCCATTTTCAGTCTCTAGTCCAAAAGTGAATTGAAACCGCAAACTTTTAGAAGTTCTCCTCTAGAGTTTTAGGACAGTGAGTCTCAGGTTCTAAACTATAAATAGACTACAGAAATACTTGCAAAGTACTGTTCCCAGCTTTGTAAACTTTTACATTGCCAGTTTATTAGATATTTTTTAATCAGATGGCTATCCTTCAGAATTTTGTTTTTCTCTCTTTTTATTCCATATAAAAAAGGAAAGGGAAAAAATGACATCTATTTTCACTCTTTAGCATTATTTGGGGGGAGTGGACTAGGGCAGCTGAGAAATCTATTAACACTTTCCTTACTGAAAGTCGCTGTAATGTGCTGTGTCAGATACAATGATTCTTATATTCAGCAATAGATCTGTAGACTAAGTGAGGGGATGGTACATATACCTGAGGGTGTTATATAGTAGTAGTTGGTATTAAGTCGTTAGAGAACAATACAGTGGTGACATATAGAGAAGTTTCAAAGAGAAATGTTAGCTTTCCCTACTTTGAAAGAGGATTTGATCTTTAATCATTGTAATTTATTTTACATTAGGACTCTTATTAATCTTATTTAACTTATTTCTGTGTCTTTGAGTGCTTTCTTAAGGTATAATGTCAGTTATTTTTTAGTGTTTAAGTTGGAAAATTGATGCGGATTGACTGTGTATTGGCGCTCTTTAATATACTTGCCACTGCACAGGCCAGTTAACAAAATCACACATCACTCTCTGAAATGTTTGTATTGAGTGAGCCCATTTTCAAATGACATAAAGGTGGAAAATCACTTAACATCTCGCCAGAGTAAACATACTCCTTTTCATCAACTTGGACTACTGTTTCAGACTTGATGATTGAAAGTTCACAGAAAGCTTCGTGAAAAGACTTACGATCTGATGATGCTTCCCAGGTAGCCTCTTCTTCTAATGAAAATGATCACATTCTTGCATGGGATGAACTGGAGGCGGCAAAGTGTACTGAAGACTGAGGAGAGATTCAACTTTTTGAAATCCATCTCTAGAAACAAGAAGCAACCTACACGCTAGACCTGTTTGTATCAAAGTATGAAGCATGTACAAATCCACACCTATGTAGGTTATTCATTTTCAAGTGGAGCTGAGGGCACCATCTCAGCAATAAGGCTAATAATTGCTTTCTTTCTTGGTAGAGTTAATGAACATAGTGTGCAATCATAATAGCCAACCTCTGACTCAAAAGACAGCTTTGTCAGTAGCCGAAATAAGTAACAAAGGACCTAAAAAAAAAAAACTCAGCCTTTTAAAAGATTCTTTTTAATTCTTGCAGACTCAGTGTTCCTGAAAGTACACCTTTTACAGCAGTCTTAAAGTTTGCAGCAGAAGAAGTAAGTATAGAAATTGGAACAACCTGTAGAGAGTGCAGTTTAGTGATGTGTCTCAAAAATCTGCATGCATCTTGACCCACCACTGCCACATCGGTTCATTACTAGGTTTACGCTGTCAAAAGGTTAAGCCTCACTTATAGATAAAAGTAGAGTGAAAGTTGAGACTCACCGATAAAAGAATGACTTAAACAAATGGACACATCTATTTAATGTAACCATTGAAAATTATAAGGAGAATTTTTATTGAAATTGAAAAGATAGTGATGATATGTCAATTTTTTAAAAAAACATTATATCACTGTAATCTGTACGCCTGTGTTTTACTAGCTTTGATTCTAGAAGTACAATTTTATTATATATTTATCTTAGTTTTCAGATTTTCTCTATAAAGCATGTGGACTGTCAGTAAAATTTATTGTTTTTAAAAGTGTTTTTAAAGATATGTTTGGGTTTCTGTTTTTAAGAAATAAAATTTTTTCATCGGAATTTTTTATCAGAGGCATCTGTAAAGTAACTCTTTGGACTTGACAATTAGAAGAGAAACTTGGTCTGGTGGAAGTAACCTGAAAATGTGATTTAGGAGACTTAACATTCCTCTTTTAACTGTGTCATTAATTATCTGTTTGACGTGGGGCCAGCCCACGAATTTCTTCCTTAAATTTCTTAATGTGTAAAATGGGAATAGTTAATGCCTACCCTTCCTATCTGATTAAGTGATTTTGTGTAAAAATATAATAGCAGTTACTAAAATTTTGTGAAGTTAAAGGTGCAGTGCAGGTACAGAGTAACCCAACTCAGAATATTTTGTTCGAAATCTTACAAGTTTACAGTCACAGAAAAAAGTTCAGTAATTAAATAAATAAGAAACCAGCTTAATCCATAGTCCAGCCCTGTACTTAAGGAATTAATGGAAAATCAGCCAGCCCACTAGTGCTTCCGGCTCCTTATAAACTATTGTCAGGGACCACTGCCATAGTTCATCACTCATTCAGAGTTAAACTGAAAAGTGGTATTACTTGCTTTATTGTCAATTTTGATCTATCCTTCATGCAGAAAGAATAACTAAAAAGAGGTGGGGAACAAATCTGAACACAGCATCATTACTTTTTGCTACACAGATCACTTGGTTGAAATGCTCCTGGTTTGTGCCCTAGCAGGTTCCACAGATTCTAATTTGAGAAGTAGATCCCTTCAAGCTATAATTAATATTTATTATTAAATTTTGTAATTATTTTATAGTGTGTCCTTTTACAAGGCAAAGGCATTGTTGTGATCTGGGTCTTCTAGTAAAGCTTGTGAAAATCCTAACAGGTGTGCAACAGAAAATGAACAAACTTCACGCAACCACATGTATTGATTAAGGTTTTAGTGTACCTTTTAATTATAATGAATCACGAATGTTACACACTTAGAAAGGATATAGCTTTAAGGCAGCGGTGAGAAGGCCTTTCACAAGATGACATTGTAGACTCTTTGAGTAAGAACAAGATTTGACTTAAGAAACCAGAAGTCTGTGGATATAAATCCCTAGTAAAATTCTCTTAATAAAAAATAAAATAAAATCCCCCAGCATATGACTGGGAATTAATTTAACTAAAGAATGAGTTGTCAAAGCCTGAAAGAGCCTCTTAACATCCTAAATTATAAGACATATGGGATATGAGATAGAAATGAATGACAGCTGAGGAACATAAAGTGCACTTTGCATCTGGGAAAAAACTTGTTAGTACTGTAGACAGAAGTGGTAGTTGCTGTATGTACATCACTGGTAATGCTTCCCCAGATGTCAGTTTAACCATTGCTGCTACGTGCTGGAAAAGGAAGAAATTATGTCTGCAGTTGCTTTTGATTTTTAATGTCACAATATGTTACCACTAAGAAAACGCATAGCTTACCTTAAAATGGACATAACTAAGAATAACAAATAGAAACTTTGTCATATTCAAGTTTTAGACATCGGAAGTTGCCTATAATTAATTTAGGTGTTTGATAAAATTTTAATAAGTATTACAGCCTCTATAAAAAGTTTTGAAGTATTTTTAAATTTATTAAAGTACATTTTGAAGTTACTTTAAATTAGGTTTATTTAAAATTTTTAAAACTTTAAGAGGACACTTACACTTAAGAATGTGCTATATGAACAGTAAAATTATTTGTTTTTTAGGTACATAAGCCTGTAACAAGTAATTGTTCTTATGCATAGTTAAGTTCTTATTTTAAAACTTGGTTGTTCAATTCATAAATTAAAATAAGCTTTTAGTTGTTTTTCTCAACTATGATACGTGACTACTATAAATACCAAGAGCAGCATTTCCCAGAGAGAGTGTTTTCCCCAGACCACCAGAACCACCAAAAAAAAAAAAAAAAAACATTAAAAACTGGGATCAGTGGCCCAAAAGTATGGGAAACACATTATTGACTATTTTTTTGCCTGGAGTTAAATAAACTATATTAGCCTCATATTAAAGGATTTTGAAAAGACTAGTAGTTTAACTTAATGTTTTCCAAACTTATTTAATCACAAAACTCAACTAATATTTATAAAGTTAGTCCATGACATAGAAGTGCTTAATTAATATTTGTTGGAAGAATGAACTATGAGGACATGAACACACTTTGACAAATACTGGTCTCTGGAGCATTAAGAGGAGAATTCTACCTTTTAGCTACTAATAAGCTCCATACCACATTTCATTGATTCAGAAAGCTCTTCTTTTTACATCTCAGTGGAGTCTTCCTGTCATGCTTGGCCGTGTGGCAGTCACATAATTATCTAGCTGACATCACCTGCACCTACTTGTACTTAGAGGTATTTCCTGGTGGCATAATTGGACTGTTGCAATCCCATGAGGTTTAAGTCAGCAAATCATTTAAGGAGAGCTTGAGGAAGGAATATGAGCCTTGGTTGGCCTCCCATTAAACACAAGAGAGCATTTGTTTGAACTTACTATTTCCACAAAGAAATTTGAGGAATATTCTGAGCAGTTGCTTTGCTTTTATTTTTGCTTATGCCTGAGCATTATATATGACAAAAGTAAATCATATCTAAGTCTGAAAGAGTAAACATTGGGTCATAGATTCATTGACAGTGTTTTTCTTTTTTTGTAGTGCATAAAAAAGATGCATTTTACAATGTATGGTGTCCTAGATACAATGAAATGCAGTATTTAGAGAACAGTGTTGTCCTTTAAAGATAAAGCAAGTTATAGTATTCTTTGATGACGTTACTTATCCTAAAAGATAAACTACATTTTAGAATTATAGAGTTGATTATATGTACCCCATCCTTGCTAACCATCTTTCATAGTTAATGTTATATATATATATGTATTTTTTATCTTTTACTCCCTTTTAGTTTAAAGTTCCTGCAGCAACAAGTGCAATTATTACCAATGGTAAGAATTCATTTTAAAACTATGTATTAACTTTGAGTTACAGAAATTGTTTAAAAGAAACCAAATTAGTTAAAATTGACTTAAATATAAAAGGCTAAAACTTATATCAAGGTAAATGATATACTTGATTGTAAACACTAAGTCAAGGTTATTGTTCATAATTGTCTCTTTTCATTTTTTTGTGCTTTTGTTATATAGTACAGCACTTGATAATATTTTGTGTCCTTATAACTTCATGACAAATTATTATTAAAAATAACTTGTCATTTTATTTAAAAAGGGGTTTTGGGGTTTTTTTTTTTAATAAGTTATATTGGTAAATGCTTTTAGAATATAGGAAGCTAAGCAGGAATGTACCTTTGCTATACCTTGTTATTGCTTTCCTGATAGAAAACAATTTCTTATAGACTGCAATAATGAGGATTTTATCCACTTAGATATATACATTAAATTCTGAATATCTTAGGATACTACTAATAATTAAGTTTAATGGAAATAGCCCTATGAGAAAATACTGAAACAAGATGAGGAATAAAGATTGCAGGGAATGCTTATTATCTTTCAAGAATACAAAGTAATATTCACAGGTACTGGTGAGTGGTTCGGGATTAGTTAAGATAGACTAAAGGAAGGTAGGTTTTTTTTTTTAATGTTTTATTTATTTTATTTATTTATTTTTGGCTGCGTTGGGTCTTCGCTGCTGCGCGCGGGCTTTCTCTAGTTGCAGTGAGCGGGGGCTACTCTTCATTGTGGTGCGCGGGCTTCTCATTGTGGTGGCTTTTCTTGTTGCGGAGCACGGGCTCTAGGCGCATGGGCTTCAGCAGTTGTGGCTCGCAGGCTCAGTAGTTGTGTCGCATGGGCTTAGTTGCTCCGTGGCATGTGGGATCTCCCTGGACCAGGGCTCGAACCTGTGTCCCCTGCGTTGGCAGGCAGATTCTTAACCACTGCACCGCCAGGGAAGCCCAAGAAGGTGGCTTTAATGTGCAATAATTAGTATGATTTAGTTTAGATATGACGGAATTTCTCATTCTGAAACATTCTGCATGCTGTCACATTGAAATGTGTCTGTATTTAGATGAGAGCTATCTTACTTTTCTAGAAAGTTCTAAATTCACAAATGAATAGCTATTGGGAAAGTGCCTTGTAAACTTTTATCAAGTGTCAGTGGAATTTACATCACTACGTGGGCTCTTCAGCCTTAGGATTTGATGCCTCAGAGCAATATTAAATGATTAATGACATACCTAAGGTGTTTTGGCTTTATTTTTCACTGGATGTGGCAAAATAGTATAAAAAACTATCTTCTTTGTAAAACTTACCAGGATCATTGTGTTGACAGATGTTCTTGTCTAATCCAGCAATACGTGTGAGTACATAATAGTGAGAGATTTCAACAGATAACTCACCTGACAGACTGTCATTCGTGTTCTCAGTATAACTTTGGCTTATGCCTGTGTACACAGCAGCACTTTTTTGGCACAGTTCTTGTTACTATTAAAGCCTTTTAGCTTTAGAAATAACTTAGATGATTTTACGACTTATTTTCTAGATGGAATAGGAATAAATCCTGCACAGACTGCTGGTGAGTATCTATCTGAAATCCATGGAGGTGTGGTGAGGCTATATTTATCAATTGATACTGAATATTTAATTCATTCTAATTAGACTTGATAGGATTTAACCAAGGTAATAGTTGATTTTTAGGGATTGTATAGCAGTCTTTACCTATGTGTGTAAGTACTTTGTTTCTTTCTATGTATCAGTTATGTATGCTTTTGGCTACAAGAAAGAGAAAACCTGACCAATAAGCTTTAAAGGTATTTAATACATGTAACAAGAAGTCTGAAGATTGTGCTCTTGTGGGAATAATGATTTTGAGCTACGTCATAAGGTAGTTGTGAGGTAGCACATGTAAAGTGCTTAAAAGTTTGCATTATTTATAGTAAGCATTCAATAAGTGCTGGCTATTTTAAAGAAGTACGGTCATTTAAATTTCATGGGGCCTGGTCTACACTCAGAGTTTCAAGCTGTTACCATTATACAGTGCTAAGTATTGATGTCCTAACAAGCAGGAAGGGTAAAAGTAAACATCTTAACAGACAGTTGCATATTTGTGTTAGATGTACCTTCCTTAGCTTATAGTCTAATTATAATATTTTGAAATTAAGCATGATTTAATATCATGTAACCTCAATCTTGAGAAGTAGTTATTTTTAAACTATTAATATTCTAAAGTACTTCTACAAAATTATATTGTCCTCCTAGGTCCTGGGCTTGAAATTTAGCCATACAGCAAATGAAGAGGAATTTTAAATAATTTCTTTTTACATAAATCAGTTGTTTTAAGTGTATAATTTTATTAAATTAAAAAGCCTGTTTTTTGAGAATCATGAGGCATTTTGTTGTATAGATGCCTTTAAACTTAGGTTTAAAGGTTTTGCTTTTCCTACTCTAGAAATGCTTGGTAGTTATATTAATTTGAATTATTGCTTACTCTAACATGTTGCCTGTTGTATTACCCTATAAAATTGAATTGTGGGAATCACGAGGTGTGAAGAAAATCTCAGCAGGCAACGCAGACCCAAAGTAGGTCAGGGTTTCTAAACTTCTGTCACTTTGGGTAGATTTAGATGTATTATTTTTCCTGCCCCTCAGTATTTTATTGTATATTAAAGTGAGTATTGATGGTTAAATTACCTTATGTTTTATTTGATGATTGGTTTTGGTAGTAGTTCTTTGGGTAGTGTTCTTATTTAAAATTTTCAAACATTAGTTGGGTTGTGAAGATGTGAGAGGGGTAGGCACAAGACTTAAGCCTGGACTCGGGTTCTAATGATCTTTGAGCTTTGTACCTACTTGACACTCCTTTGTTTCTTTTACGTAGTAATTGTTGAAATGTTAAGATAGTGTGTCATTTTTTAAATACCTAACTTTTTGTTTTGTTTGTTTGTATAGGAAATGTTTTTCTAAAGCACGGTTCAGAACTGCGAATAATTCCTAGAGATCGTGTTGGAAGTTGTTAGTATCTGCTGCTTGGAACATAAAATCCCCTTCCAGAATAAATATTGTTATTGTTATTGTTGTAAAATTGGAATCAGGCATTTGAAATCCTATGAAGACACCAATAGTTGATGAAGTAATGAAAGGTGGCTGTCTGTCCCTTCTAGTTATTCACATTCTTCACGTGAAGAGGGGACACTTCTCTGTTGAGGGTGTCATCACCACAGAAGATCACGTTACTACCTCACAGCACACACAGGTAGTTCATTGTGGGTAAATGGATTATCCAACTGTGTCTTATAACTGGAGGATGCTTCTGATCATTCTTTCTGAGAACATTTGGAAAATTAAAATTTACTGAATCTTCCTATTTGTCTTTGAGTTAATAATGTAAAAAGATTATCAATCCATACGTGGCAATTTGCTTGATAGCATCTGACCTGGAGACACAAAAATAGTTGAATTTTTCATTAATATCGTTTATAATAAAGGATCACATCAATGAATAACTATCTTTTTATCATTTAGCTTGCTTTGAAGTTTTCAGACTTCTTGAGTTCTTATAAATTTTAATTTAAAAATCAAAGAGCCAAAACTTGAATTTTCGATCTAGCCCCTTACGTGTGACATTGGTATCCCACGCCAAAGGGTTTAATTGAGACTAAAGTAGAAGCATCAGTTGCTGAATTATGCATTCCTTTATTGATCTCTTTTTTTAAAAAAACCTTTAAAACAGGAATCCTCAAGAAACCATCTTTTTGAGGATAATATATCTAAATAGTGTTCAGGGAGAAAGCATTGTCGTAAAGAGGATCTGACGTTCACAACAGAGCTCAAGGAAATGCTAATTGAAATGCTCACTAATTCTACTTACTGAAGACCCAACATTTAAGGAAGTGTTAAGATTAGTTACTGGAGTGAATAAGAAGCTAGGAAAGGAAGCTGGGGAAGCCCAGATGACCAGGCTTCTAGTAAGAAGGAAAGAAACAAAAATGAAGGGGAGCAGAAAGGTGTAACGAGTGTCACAGAAAAGGCCAAACTGGATGGACAAAACCACAGAGGCTATGTTGGGAAGAACTGAAAGGAAAATAAAATATTTGACATTGTTATAAGGAGCAGAAGGCAATCAGAGAAAGCAAAGCATAGGCCTTGTCAACATACAGATTTCAAAATTCCCCGTAGAGCATCTAAAGAATGATATGCATAAGGGAAGATTTTGTTTGCCCTTAGGACATCAATATCTATGCACATCTTGAAAGGTGAAAGGAAGGCTCGTGGTGATTGAGAACCAGTGCTTGACTTGCTGTATTCTAGATGGTAAGCTCTGGAGGCAGGCCTGGTGTCTGTCTTGCTCTTTCTAGGCCTGGAAATGTAGGCCTTCAATGAATATGTGTAGAATTATTAATGAATAAAGTATTTCTAAGATCAATTTTTATCCAAGTGTGCATAGGCTCTAGGTTCATTGGGGAAAAAAACAATGCAACAGAATCAGTATCCGAAGAGTAATATTGGTTAAGTTTAAGGAAGTAACTAGATATTGTTCATATGTTTGGCAAATGAACAGCAGGATTCTGAATTGTAAAGGGAAAAAAAATTGTGCTGAGGTAGTATGTTGCTAATGTTTGGGGAATTTTTTATTTTTATAAACAAAGTCTGACGCTTAAAGACTCCTAGTCTTTAACGACATTAAGCCTCAGTTAACCAGAAATGTATGAATACCCAGTTTTCTGCATTTTTTGTTTTATTTAGATTTCGCCCATTCTGTTTCTAGCACAAAATTCTGCCTAATTTGTTACATTAATAAGTTTTATGATGTCTTCTACCATAATTTGTTTAATATTTTTGTTCTTTGTTTGGAAAATTGTATTGCAGTAAGGTCTTAAAAATATTTTCTTAAAGAACTAGGCGTTTTGTTATTAAATAAATGTGATCTGTAACTTCTTTGTGCAGAATGTTTTGAAGTGTTGTATTTAGTTTAAATGCTTTATTGGTACTCTTGTGAAAATACATTTTCTTATACCATAAACCATATTGTCTACTCTTATTATTAGTGTTCAATTAGCACACCTGTTGAGCCAGTATATAACAAATGTAGCCAAAAAGAAAACAAAAAAAGGGCAAAAATGATTAATGGCTATAGGTCTTAGAAATGAATGTATATTTCCAAATACCAGTCCATTTGGAAAAAAATTCAAGTTACAGTGTCTATAGTAAGTGTTTAGGTTGGTGGGTCCTAAATAAACCTGGGGTAATTATCAGAATCACCTCGGAAATTATAAATATAGATTTCTGGAAGCCACCCCTAAAGTTCTTACTCATTAAATCTGGAATGATGTATAAGAATTTCTGTTTATAAAAGCAGTCCTGATGATTTCTGTTTTGTAGCTCAGTTTGAGAATTAATGATAACTTTTCACTTTGTAGATGAATAAAACGCAGTGTAAGGGGTCAGAGTAACTAGAATATGTTCTAGAATCTTGGGAAGTGTACATCCCACTGCTTGTTCCTCCAGTAGCTAAGTGCAGAGATGCTATAACAGTCTGTCTCACTCACCGGTAGTAAAGCCTCCTTTTAAAGTGTTCCACGTCCAGTAGTTTTTTGGATATTTTATTTCTTAAGATTAGTTATTCGAAAGAAAAGCCAGTGGGAAGAAAACTCAGTCCAATTTAAGCTCTCTGGTCCCCAAATTAAGACATTAAAAATACCCACCATGTCTTTACTCAAAGACCTAGAAATATTTGTAACTTGAAAGCATTTATGTACTCTAATGGAGCACTTATAAATTAACTGACCAAATATTAGTGTTCCCAAGGCTATTTATAAACGGCATATTACATATGTAAGTCATATATATGTGTATGTATACATATATCTATTTTATGTATTTACCTATGGAATTAGTGGGTATATATATATATATATACACACATATATAATTTACATATGTAGCTCATCTAAAAGAAATGTATTGCACAAATATGTTGAATATGAATACACAGTTTCAATATGTATTGAACATCAAATATTTTGATATTTACTTTCACGTCTCATTCTTCACAACAATGCCAAATTATTCCCATTTCACTGAAGAAGAAAGAGGCTTAAAGAGGTTGAGATTTAAAATTTGACTCCTTGTTTGACTTTGGAACTCTCCATACCATACTGGGAGAATTTTTCAGTATCTTTTTCACAGTATACTAGATCTATATTGAATTATAAATTTAAAAATATAAGAGAAATGTGTCAGGCCTAAATTCTCATTTCAGAGTACCAAGTATGTGTGTAATCATGAATGGCATTACTTACTAATGGTGTAAATGTGGTATGATTGTAGGACATTAAGTAAAAACCAATCAAATAAAGGTAATTATGAGTCTGGTGTGACTCCACAGGGTGGCTTGGTGGGAGTGGGACTATGGCTCCGCGTTCATCAGCCCCATCAGACAATTTATGTTTTTGAACCTTGTGTGTCTTGCAGACGCAGCTACAAGATTAGCTCCCCAGTAACCTGCTCTTCCCACCAGACTCGCCTATAAGCCCCTCCAATACAGAAATTCTGGAAGTACCCTCTCATAGTGCCGGGGATGGCTAAATCACTATTTAAACCAGGCTGTTTAATTAAACCATTAATTGAAATAAACATTCTCAAAGAGCTCAATCTGTCCAAACTATTAGCCACATCTAACTACCTAAGCCAGGCATTTGAAACTCATTAGATTCTCGCCTTTATCTTGCCTTAGCAAACCAATCATAAAATTCGATTGATTCTGTTTACAGAATATAATCTCATAGCCATCTCCATGATCTAAAGCCCTCAGTTTCTCGTATATGCTATTATAAAAGCCTCTAGTCTCCATTTCCTTTTCCACACTTTCGTTGTAATGAGCTTTGTGACATGGAAATATGATCGTGTAGTTCCACTAATCAAAATCCCACTGAACAAAAATGTATACTTCTCATGACATCTGTGGCCCTTGAACTGGTCCTTGAACTGTTCAGAGTCATCTGTTATTGCTACTCTCTTTCGTACAGTTTCCTTCTCCAATTCACACTGCAGCTACACTGAACTACAAATAGTATTTAGTATCTGATGTGCCATATTATGCCTCCATGCCTTTGCTTTCTCCATTTGCCTGCAAAGCCTCAGACTCATTCTTCAAGTTTAGAAGCCATGGAGCCTTTGCTCACTCCTCCCAAGTAGAGTTAGGAGTTTAGCTCTCTAAGTACCCATTGCATTTTGTACATTCCTCCATTACAACAATTATTAAATACAGAATTATATTTGTCTCTGATTTAAACTATAAATTTTATAAAAGCATAAGGTCATGACTGAAACTGGATTTCCAAAATTGCCTTGCACATAGCAGGTGCCCAGTAAGGACTTTATAATCAAAAGACTATTTAGGGCTTCCCTGGTGGCACAGTGGTTGGGAGACCGCCTGCCGACGCGGGGGACACGGGTTCGTGCCCCGGTCCGGGAAGATCCCACATGCCGCGGAGCGGCTGGGCCCGTGAGCCATGGCCACTGAGCCTGCGCGTCCGGAGCCTGTGCTCCGCAACGGGAGAGGCCACAACAGTGAGAGGCCCGTGTACCACAAAAAAAAAAAAGACTATGTAAAAGAATGAAAACTTTGAAAATTTCAACAGTGTCTCCTACCTGATAACTTCTTTAGTCAGAATATTTAATTAACCAATATACCCATATTTCCTCACCACTTCTTGTAGCAGGGATTTACCCTGTCTCAGAAACGAATTAATCATTCTTTTAAAAGTGTGAAGCATCCTCCCACTTTTTAACAAATATATATTAATCATTAGCTGTATTATGGATGTTGGTAAATACTGGAGATGAAATGTGATTAAGATTCATTCCTTTTTCTTGGGCTCTCAAAAATTTATACATTTCAAAAATCTGCCGAGTGAAGTAATTATATGGAAGGGTGTACTTCAAACCCTTTTTTAATGGGCAGAGCACAGCTAGGAAATCGACATTATCTCATTTAAACCTTAATCTCTTCACAAACTGCCGTGTTCATTTCTTTACTGTTAAGGGAGCCAAGATTTAAGTTATTGTGTTCAAAGTTACAACAATGAGGTTGGCTCCTAGGTCTATGGGATTATAAAATCCACACCGTGTGTTGTGGTTTGCTGGCCATGATTTTTGCTAGAATTATATTGCAGTATTTTCCAAAAAGGAGAAGGGTACATCTGGGGAGGGCCTCATAGCTTGCTACTGACCATTTCTGTGATCTCACTTTGCTTGAAAAATTGAACACTCAATAACCTACACAGTTAAGACTCTTTTAGTAAATATATATACATTTATAACTACAAAGAGAATTGTGAACATTGGAAAAGTAGGTTTATGGCCCTGTTACCTGCTTTGCTATATAGGGGGTGTTGTGGAAATTCTGTCTGGATGCAAAACACTGGCCAAGGTTGGCAGACAAGCGCTGAGAGCCAGATTTTTGGCATAAATCTGTGATTTTCTGGCAAAACTCATTAGCAATGTAAAAGCTGTTATTGAGAGCATATTGTGATGATACACCATGTCAATATTTGTTTGGCTGAGTAACACTGTGGATTTAATAATTCTTAAATGCACAATTTACAACTGCTGAGCTGTTTAAGAAGAAAAATTTCTATGTGATGTTTATCGTCAGTGCCACAAACATTTTGACGTTTTAAGTGGAGATGCTAGCTTCTGTGACTTTTTAAATAAGTGTGTTGGACAGATTAGGGATTTTAAAATTATCCTTAGGTATGCACATTATGTAGCAATAACACATAAGAGACAATGACTGAATAAATGAGTGAGTCATAGAGGTCTTCATCCTTTATAACCTCTGCCATAAATCCATATTACCTGGTAGACCTTTTGTTTTAATTTAATTTAATTTTTTTTAAATAATTTTTTTTAATTTTTTATTTTTTTTATTATTTTATTTTAAAAAATTTATTTTTTATTTTTTTATACAGCAGGTTCTTATTATCTATTTTATACATATTAGTGTATATATGTCAATCCCAATCTCCCAATTCATCCCACCACCACCACCCCACACACCCGCCACCCCCACTTTCTCCCCTTGGTGCCAGTACGTTTGTTCTCTACATCTGTGTCTCTATTTCTGCCTTGCAGATGGTTCATCTGTACCGTTTTTCTAGATGCCACATATATGCATTAATATACGATATTTGTTTTTCTCTTTCTGACTTACTTCACTCTGTATGACAGTCTCTAGGTCCATCCACATCTCTACAAATGACCCCATTTCATTCCTTTTTATGGCTGCCTAATATTCCATTGTATATATGTACCACATCTTCTTTACTTGCTAGACTGTTTTACTCAACATTTTCAGTTTTTGCATAGTGTTAGAAGACGCTGAAAAATATTTGTTGAATAAGTAAGTTATTATTATTATTTTTGGTATGTGGGAGGGATACACCTTGCACTTAGAGCCTTAAACCTAGTCTTAGAAAGGAATAATCTCTATTAACTTCTTTCTTCCTGAAAAAGATAGCACACATGGACAACTGATATTTATTGAGCTTTTGCTTTGTATCAGGCACTGTGTTTTATGTTTTACATTCTTTTTTATATATATATAAATTTATTTATTTATTTTTGGCTGCGTTCGGACTTCATTGCTGTGCGTGGGCTTTCTCTAGTTGCAGTGAACAGGGGCTACTCTTTGTTGCGGTGCACAGGCTTCTCATTGTGGAGCACGGGCTCTAGGCACGCAGGCTTCAGAAGTTGTGGCGTGCGGGCTCGGTAGTTGTGGCACATAGGCTTAGTTGCTCCGTGGCATGTGAGATCTTCCTGGACCAGGGCTCGAACCCATGTCCCCTGCATTGGCAGGTGGATTCCTTTTTTTTTTTTTTTTCACATCTTTATTGGAGTATAATTGCTTTACAGTGGTGTGTTAGTTTCTGCTTTATAACAAAGTGAATCAGTTATACGTATGTTCCCATATCTCTTCCCTCTTGCGTCTCCCTCCCTCCCACCCTCCCTATCCCACCC